ATCCTGAAAATATCTGTGGGATATCCTGACGATATCCTAAAAATATCTGTGGGATATCCTGACGATATCTATGGGATATCTGGAGGACATTCATGAAAGTCTATAGAGATATCCAGAAGATATCCTGTGAATATCCTCAGATATCCATGGGATATCCAAAGGATATCCAAACCGCCGATTTTGTGGATATCCTTAAGAGATCCTTTTGATATCCATAGGACATCCCTAGGATAACTGTGGGATATTATCAATATATCCCAAGATATCTTGTGTTATTAGGGATAAGACCAAAATTTCATATTGATATATTTTAAATTATTAAATTCTATACAAATCTACAGTGTAAAAGTGCAATACCGTAATTTGTTTTTTATTTAGGTTATGTTGCTCATTAGGGTTTTTTTTAAAAAAAAATATAGAAATTAAAATTAGGGCAAATTGTACTCATGGAAGACAAAGATAATTATTTCTATCAAATTTAAATCAAATTTTCCACAATTTTAATCTCTATATTTTTTGAAAAGAAAAAAAACATAACCTAAGCAAAAAAAAATTAGTAGTTACAGTATTAACTTGTTCGTTTTTTCATTAGATAGAATTTTCTTTTAGCCGAATTTTTATTTTCTCGAAAGTTAATTCGAATAGAAATTTTGTGAATTGAATTTTTAGTTATACGCTTCACGAGAAACGGGACCTTAGAGACAAAAAAATTTTAGGTTATGTTTGTGATTTTTATATTAAAAATATATATATATTTTTATTTTTTGTTTATTTTCTATAAATCTCAACAAGAAAGTTAAATAGAAAAATAATAATAACAATAATAATAATAATAATAAGAGTTAAGAAATGTGAATGGGGGTTTGAAATAGTTGGTTATATAGTAACGATACTTTCGGATCGTAGGGTGAACATTCCTTGGCTGATCTTCCTGCTCTCTCAATTTTTGGTGTTAGTTACCCGTCTGTGTTTGCTATTTATAACGCAAAGTCTCTTTAGTTGCTCCGAGAGTGCGACAGCTCCCCTTCGTTCACCTTCGTCCGTTTCATTTCCTGAACTCCATTCTCATCCACTGATTTCCGGCATACTCTAGTTTGCCAGGTTTTGTTTTATACTTGCTGCATTTTCAAATAATTTCCACAAGAGAAATTATTACAATTAGTGCTGAATGACAGTATTATATATATATATATATATATATATACATCAATTTATTTTTACTTCATTTCTTTTTTTATGGTATCATTTTGAAATACAACGTTTTGTTTTGATATGAGGTATCAAAATTGATCCAAATAATGGGATCATTTTTTTTTAAATTATCAACAATTTAATAATTTAATTTTAAATGAATAAAATTTATACATTGCACATTTGATAAATATTTTTCATTCGTTGTCAATAATTTCCTGTCACAAAAATATCTTAATTGACAAATAGGTCTAAGCAAAATGAAATCTCTAATCGTAAATCTTAAGCATATACATGAGAGAGAAAAGGATAGAAATATCTTTTATCCTTTTCTCTCTCATGTAAAAGCTTAAGATTTACGATTAGAGATTTCATTTTGCGTTGGCCCAAAGACATTCGTTAACAAACAGGGTTGGGAAGCAAGAGCCCAAAATATATTCGTCCAAAGCAGAGATGGGTAGGATTGAATAGTCCAACAATTAGGTAGTTCAATTTGGGTGGGGGAAAATTCAAGATGGACGTAAGACAGTGCATAAAAAAACAGAAATTTATGGGACGAGATTGAAATTTTTTAATATTTCGCTTAATTGAAATTTTGGAATCTAAGTATATTAGGATTTTAGTTTCTATTTTTAATAGCCTATTTATTACAATAATAAAAAACGATTATATTTTTTCCATTAATTTTATTATTGTATTAAATAGGTAATTAAAAATTGAAACTAAAATCCTAATATACTTAGGTTCCGCAAAATTTCATTTAAGCGAGATATTAAAAAAAAATTTGATCTCGTCCCATACATTTCTGTTTATTTAAGGCCTGAGCAGAATAGAAACGTAACCAGAATCGTAATCGTAAACGCAACCGGAAGAATTTACGATTGTGATTCCTGTTACGTTTCTATTCTGCTCAGGCCTTTATGTACTGACTTTCGTCCATCTTGAATTTTTTCCAACACAACTTGAACAACCTAATTGGGAAAGGTGGTCTAGTAACAATCTAGTAACTTTGACCCATTCTCTCCCTCCATTTTGTTTTTTCTACTCTTTCTAACCTATTAATTGAAGAGAGACAAAGAAAGAAAATGGAGGGAGAGAATGGGTCCCCACCAGATGGCGTATTGCAGTTTAGCCGATCCCAATAATTTTCGAAAAGTGCATTTAACTGTTTAGGCTGTGTTCACAATACAATACAGTTAAATATTAGGCTCTGTCACTTATGACGTCAGAGTCGATTCTAGGTGTGACGTCAGAGGCCTGGAGGGACAACAAACAGACGACACAATGATATTCTTATGGGGAAGAAAATTAGTTTCCACTTTCATCAATTTTATTCATACTTTAAACATGGAAAACGCTTGTTGACATATAATAAAATTAAAATGTGTGTTGATAATTAATTTTGTTATATATTTGATTCAATTGCATTTATAGATTCTCTTAATTCCTGATAAAATATAAATTTTGAGGTTAGGGGTGTTTGTTTACTAACTTGAAATCTTTTACTGATGCGGTCATTCCCACTTAAAATATATATTTTATATCTTTTTTAATAACATGCATACTGGATATTGTTTAATAATGTTGTTAAAATGTAAAATGTGATTAGTAAACAAACACCCCTAACCTCAAAATTTATATTTTATCACGAATTAAGAGAATCCATCAATGCAATTGAATCAAATATATAACAAAATTAATTATCAATACACATTTTAATTTTATTACATATCAATAAGCGTTTTCCATGTTTAAAGTATGAATAAAATTGATGAAAGTGGAAACTAATTTTCTCCCCCATGAGAATAACATTGTGTCGTCTGTTTGTTGTCCCTCCAAGCCTCTGACGTCATATCTTGAACTCGAAATATCTCGATGAACTGACACAGCCTAATTCCCAAAATTACTGTTGGACAAAATTTCAATCCTACCCAACTCTGCTTTGGACGAACATATTTTATGCTCTTGCTTCCCAACCCTGTTGGTTTACCAATGTCGTCTGGCAATTAACATATTGTGTGACAAAAAATTATTAATTACATTAATTTACAACACATAAACAATATTTATCAAGTTTGCAATGTTTAAATTTTGTTCATTTATAATATTAAATTATTGATAATCATTTGAACCATAAAAATAATTAAAAATTTTCAAGTGTTCTGTGTCGAACATATATATCTAGATAAAGGTTAGGTTTGCGTGTCTTTATATTATAATTTGTAACAATCATTATAATATAATTCCGCAGCTTCAGCAATTACTTTTCTCTATTACGTGTGTATATTAAAGAGGAATTGATCAAAGATTCCCTGTATATGAAAAACTGGAAAATAATGAATTTGTTCAAAGCAAAAACTTGATATGTCTGGATGAAAAGAATTTTTCAAACATCACTCATTCAGTTTCGGTATTAAATTCTCGCGTTCATTAAAATACAGGTCCGATTGTTATTACATGTACGATAGAGAATCTTTTACTGATCGAGTTGATCCAATGGAAATCGTTTCAACCTTTGACGTGTGCGCGACAACGTCGTCGTTAAAGTAATAATAACAGAAATAATAACGATGGGCTAGGATTTTGTGCGAAATCGGCGAACCGCAAATGCATCAAGTGGATCTGGGGATATTGTGAGAGAGTGAGAGAGAGAAAGTTGGAGCATGCGTGCCAGTAGGCTCATTGTAATTATTTTCCCTGATGACTCTGTGCCAGTATTATATCACGTTGAGTGTCCCTTCATCAACGTTTGACGCTACGACACGAAAGCAAAGCTAAATATTATACTGGACCACAAGTACCATTCTCTCATCTGTCTCTCTCTCTTTCTCTTCTCGACATGTTTCAATTTCTATTCTCAATACACTTTGCGACATCATCTTCATCGTGTAATCCTTTTATAACAGTCGACTGGATATAATAACTCCGCGATAGTCGTGAAAACTTATCATCATCATCATAAGGAGTTGGTAAAACAAAATTTAGATTTATTCAAACGAAATTATGAACAAAGTTAAAATCCTTCTTTTTATAGATAAAAAAAATAATTTTTGCGCGTCCTGACTACTGCCAATATTGTTGACAATATTTTGTTTAAAAAATGTACATTTACAGAAAAAACTTGAACTCATTTTTAGTTGGGTATCGAAATGTGTAAGGGACAAACTTCATGTTAGTCAAAACGATCCTTTTTGGAATTTCAGATTTCCAGATTGGCATCATTTGTAGAGTAATTTTTTATTACACTTATTTTTTCTAATATTTCAACAATACGAGAAAGATTATATTTTTAACAATACGTTTAGAAATTTTTTAAGTAAAAAGAATTACAGTGTGAACTCTCTATTACGAATTTCAAGGGACCGGGCATTTTGTTTCGTTATATCGAGTGAGCAAAAAAAAAGTATTTCACATTAAATTTTTATTTTAAAAAAATAGACAGAATTAAAGAAAAAGAAGCTAACCCTTTGTGATCATGAAAACAAATTATTCATAATAGTCTGTGATTTTAGATTAAGTGTTTCTGCTTTGCCAATATGTTATTTGGATTTGTTTAACTATTTTGTCTATGTCTTGAGATAATTTTAAATCTTGTTCATGGAATAAAAAGAATTTTTGTAATAATTTGGCTGCATCAAGGGCTTGTTCTGTAGTTGGTTGTGTTGTTCCAAGATCTTCTACATGTTCCTCTTCATCTTCGTCCTTTTCTTCATCCTCATTTTTTTTAAATAAGCTTAAAAGTCCCGTCTCATCACCATTGAAAATATCATCTGGAGAATATTTTTCCCTTAACTTGGACCAAACATTACTCAGCCAATTTTTGGTAACATAGTATTTACATCCATAGCTTCTCCACTAATTTTACCATAATTTGTATTATGCCGCTGTTTAAATTTATCAAGCCATCCTTCTGAAGCTTTAAAATCTTCGATACCAAGTTCTTCTGCAAAGCTACTTGCTTTTGCTTTTGCAATAGGTCCAGAAATTGGTATGTTATTTGCACGCTGCTGATGAAACCAAGTAAGCATGGCTTGATCTAAGTCATCGAACTTCGGCTTTCTTAATTTTTTATCAGAATTTCCCTGACCTGCCATTAAAATCTTATCTTTATTCTTCTAAATAGTCGCCACAGTAGATGCACTAAGATCAAAACATTTCCCGACATCACTTTTCTTTTCGCCTTTTTCAATTGCATGAATTACCGAAACCATTTCGTCTATAGAAAAACTTTTTCTTTTACAAGCCATGTACAATTAGTCACATTCGACTTCTAGTAAACTCAAACGGAGACTAAATTAATTTTTCACAGTAACGAATACATTCTTATCTATCTACCTATACCATCAGAAATTGTCTGGCAGCAATAACAGCACACAGAAGTAAACAAATGAAGCAAAATGGGGAAAAAATATTTTTATTTTGAGACATTGTACTTTCGTTATAGTGAGTGACTGTTTCGTTAAAGAGAGTGTATCTATATACAGATTTTAATACAAACCAACCAAATTGAACAGATATTTACGTTATGGAGAGTTTTATCTTATAAAGAGTTTCGTTATAGATAGTTTCCACTGTAATTATTATTTATTTAGATAGTAATTAATTTCATAAGTTTTGAAATTTACCTCTATTATTTAAGAAGCCAGTACTGTTCCTGTTGTTGAATTCCCATTTAACAGAATTTAAAAATTACAAATTTCTTATTTAACAAAACTTTTGTATCAAAGAAATTTTCTGTGTTCGGGCTAATTTTTATTTAACAGAACTTTCACATATTCGATCATACACCTAACCGAAACATTTCAGAGGGAGTTTTAAAATCAACCAATCAAAAATTAGCAAAAAGAAATCGTGATTGGTTGATTTTAAAACTCCCACTGAAATGTTTCAATCAGGTATATGATCCGATATGTGAAAGTTTTTACAACGTTTTTACAGTGTGTTTTACGAAAAGACTATTCGGACAATTGAAAGTTCGGTCAAATTGAGTTTCGGTAAAATACAAATTTTCTCACTTAAAAATTCAGCTTAGTAGAATTTTTGTTAAATGACAATTCTGTTAAATTAAAAATTAGTTCGAATAGAAATTTTCTTTAATAAAAGTTTTTTTAAATAATAATTTGCTCTATTTAAAGTTAAAGTAAGGTATTCACTATCTTTAAAATAGGGATGTGCTTGAAGATACGAACGTTCAAATGAACGAAATCTCCCGCATAATGTGATCGATCTAAAATACAGATAAAATAAAATGAATAGATGTTTAAACATTTTTATTTACTAAATAATATTTATTACAACATTATTAAAACATAACAACAGTGAAAAATAAAAAAATTAACATATCTAAATAGACATAAAACATAATTAAGATTTTCAACAAAAATTCAATTTCAACTAATTATCTAATTATGAAGACCAGGTTGAAATAAAAAATTGTAGAGGAAAAAATTATTGCTTTTTAGCAATAAAATTGAAAAAAAAATTACAACATTCGGCCCCCCACCAAAATTTTTAAAAATAACCTTATCCTTAAGGGGTCTACCCACTTTAGACGCGCTAAAATGAAGGCTGTTTTCAAGAATTTTTCTAATTGGTTTATATTATAAATATTGACATATAAGTTGTTAGACTAAAGAAATACACTTCCGAAATACATGAAAAAATTTTTGTTATTTGTTTTTTTAAAATTTTATATGCATGCAAATGGTAGTTGAAAAAAAATCCCCCAAAAACGATGGGTCCACGCTGTTGATGAAATCTCTGACATGGATTGTCCGAAACCAAAAAATCAAAAAGTTTTGGATTCAGTGTGGTAATAGCTATAGCGCATATCAAGGGATTTTTTATTTTTGCAAAATTGACAAAATGGCGGACATTTTTCGAAAAAACTAACACACGGTTTTCTTTAATTTTTCGAAAAATGTCCGCCATTTTGTCAATTTTGCAAAAATAAAAAATCCCTTGATATGCGCTATAGCTATTACCACACTGAATCCAAAACTTTTTGATTTTTTGGTTTCGGACAATCCATGTCAGAGATTTCATCAACAGCGTGGACCCATCGTTTTTGGGGGATTTTTTTTCAACTACCATTTGCATGCATATAAAATTTTAAAAAAACAAATAACAAAAATTTTTTCATGTATTTCGGAAGTGTATTTCTTTAGTCTAACAACTTATATGTCAATATTTATAATATAATCCAATTAGAAAAATTCTTAAAAACAGCCTTCATTTTAGCGCGTCTAAAGTGGGTAGACCCCTTAAGGAGGTTCATCCCTTCAAGCGGTACTCATTCTATTAGGGGTTTTCCGTAAGTTTAAAACCGACAGCTATAGTTCATAAAAGTTGAGCTCCACTGGCCAATTTAGAGGTTAATTTGCCGTTTCTCCTCTTCTTTCTTTTATTTACATGGGATAAGTTCAAAAGTTGCTAACTTTGATTAACATTTACTTCACAACCAAACGGTAAAAAAATTTCATATTTTTGTAAAAACTGTTAAAACTCATAATTTAAAACATATTAGTTTTTTAAAAAAATCTGTAGAACCGTTTTTTTTAATTAATGAAAACATGGTCATTTTTCATGTTTTTTCACTGTTCCCATGTAAAACTTCAAACTTTATCAATTTTTATCTTGAAAATGATACGGTAAAATTCAATAAAATTTGAACAACACATGTAAAGTGATGTCAATAATACATCTTAAATTTTTTTAAAAAATCTGTAGAAAATCGATTTTGGGATGAACCTCCTTAATATAAACAATTATGATTTATGGAAATTTTTTCAATTTTCCCGCAAACTATCGCTCATTGTTTAAAATTTTGGGGGGATCCGAAGGTTGTACTATTTTTTTTCATATAAATTGTTTAAAAAGAAACAACTTTTTCATATAAAATTTTTGAAAATAACCTGGTCTTGAATATAAACAATTAGGATTTATGGAAATTTTTTCAAATTCCCGCAAACTATCGCTCATTGTTTAAAATTTTGGGGGGGTCCGAAGCTTGTAATATTTTTTTTCATATAAATTGTTTAAAAAGAAACAAATTGTTTATTTGTTATTTTTTAATATAAAGCTGTTCTTATTAAGTAATTAATTGAAAGTTATTTCTATACAGATTCTTGGTTATGTTTTATGTCTGTTTGGAATTTTTTAATTTTTTCGTGTTATTAGCTTTTAATAATGTTGTAATAAGTATTATTTAATAAATAAAAGTGTTTATACATATATTTATTTCATTATAACTTGATTTTTAGTCAATCACAGTGTGCGGGAGATTTCGTTCATTTGAACGTTCGTATCTAAATCCACTTTATAAAATTCTGCTGAATAAAAATTCGATATTATTTTAATTCAACGCCACAACAATTCTAACAGGTCTAATGTGAAGAATATTCATACACGTACCTTTAGTAGTACAAAAAAATAATTTTCAAGAAAAAAAAATTCTCATAATTTACATACCATCTTATATATATATACTCTATTTTAGCTTGCATTATAGAATTACGAAGTAAGAGTAGCGCGGGCAAATAAAATTCTTTTTTCGAGGAGAATATTAATTCAGAGCGAGAAATGCTTGCACGTCAGATTATCTGCCACTCTAAAAGCGAAGATATAATACAATGCCAGAGAAATGACTAGAGTTTGAGAGAGAGAGAGAAAGAGAGAGAGAAAGAAAGAAAGAGTAAGAAGAGTTCCTCAACTTTAACTCCTCGCCTGATGGGTATTACTAGGGAATTCGAAGGAAAGCTGACGGTATTGTCGCACCCCGACCCGGACGCAACTGTTGACTTTATTCCCGTAGATTAGTTGGCGTTTTCGTTAGGACAATGCATCCTCAGCGACACGCCTTCATTCTGTCGGTGGTTAGCAATTTTTTATACCCCCCTCTCCCTCTCCCACCATCACCTCATCGGTTGCCTAGCATCCCTTACAATTCTCTTGATGAAAAGAAGAAGAAAAAGGGATGCACAAGAGAGAGAGAGAGAGAGAGAAAGGGGTGAGATTGAGGCGATTCGCAATGTCACGAGGCCGTTTTTACCACTCTGTCTTTTTCGTCATTCATCGAGAGTCACCTCGCAATTGTGCATCACGCTTCCGGCTTTAGTTTTGGAAATATTTAAGAGCTTCTCAATTATTTTTGTTTTAATTTTTTTCACGGTGGCACGTAAGAACTGCGGACAAATAGGGGAAGATGACCCTCCGCACAGTTTTTTTGGGTATGGGGGAAAGTTGAATGTTTCTTCCCTTTAATTCCTCCTATTTGGACATATTTTAATAAGAGCCTGAAATAATTATTTAGAATGATGAGTGAAAAATAATTTATTTGATTCAAATAAGTTAATTGATTGTATGGAGAAAATTTTCTACTTTATTATTTTTTTTTTTTTTGAAATAGGGCTTTAGCGAGGATCAAGATAGTTTTCCTAATTTACAATTAGGTACGATTTTAAATAGAACTTTAGCAATTATCAGAATGGTTATTTTAATTTCCATTTCAATCAGACTTTAATTTGGGGCTTTAGCAAGGAACAAACAAGTTTTTGTAGGTTTAAAATAGCATGATTTTAAAAAAGGAGTTTAGAAAGGACTAAAGCAGTTTTCCTAGTTTTCATATAATCACAATTTGAAATATGACTTTAACAAGGACAAAAGCAGTTTTCCTAGTTAACAGGTCACTTCTATTTAAAGTAGGGCTTCAGCAAGTATCAAACCATTTTTCCTAGTTTCCGATGTAATCCAAATTCAGATAGAACTCTAGGAAGGACGAAAACAAGTTTATTAGTTTCCAATTGAGTCCGATTTAAAATAGGGCTTGAGCAAGTAGCAAACTAGTTTTCCTAATTTCCAATAAAGCCCGATTTGAAATTGGAGTTTTTAATGGACCAAAGCAGTTTTCCTAGTTAACAGTTAATCTCTATTTGAAATGGGGCTTGGGCAAGGATTAAACCAGTTTTCCTAGTTTTTAATTAAGTCCGATTTAAAATTGGAATTTAGCAAGGACCAAAACAGTTTTTCCTAATTAACAGTTAAACTCTATTCTAAATATGACTTCGGCAAAGATCAAGTAGGATGTTTACTAAAT